TTCTTTACCTTTTATAATTGTTTTGACCATCGATTCTGGTAGATCAAACTTCTTTGCCACATCACAAATTTTCATTTTTGTGTTGAAGTCTTTAATAATGTTAACTTTACATTCCAAAGATGAAGTTTTTATTTTCTTGTTTGATGCAGGAAGAATCAGTTCTACTTCGTTTAGATGACATAGTAGAGTCTCTCAAGTCTCCGTAGATATAACAAACACAGAAATAAATAACACAAAATAAACTGTCGATTCCGTGAACATGTAAGCCATCCGACACGTCCGAACATATAAGCCGAATAATAGTGTGGGGGGAGTGAGTAATCAAGAATTGTGTGGAGCTCAAACAAAAGACGAATCAAAGAGATTTGAAAATTGCGTCACTCCGGGTTCGTGTAAGTCGAGGTATTACTGTGTATAAAAATTGACATACATGATACAATGTGGAACAAAGCCTTTTACAACTTTCTAAAGAAATTACAGGTACTAATAAATATCACCACTAAACCTTTGGGCTTCCAGTACAGTTTGAATGTAGTAAATGAACAAACATTTTTGATCCTTTATCCAGAATCTGCTTCAGGTTCTTATTGTTCATTTACTACATTTGAACTGTACCAGAAACTCAAAGGTTTAGTGGTGATACTTATTACAAAGCCTTACGTAAATAATTTGTCTTTGTTCTTTAGAATGATCATATTACACAGAAAGAGATAAAAATGATGAAAAAAATTTTCACAAATTTTGTATTTTTGAATTGTTATGTCATTAAAATTAATTAATTTAAAATACTGTTTGTTCATATACAATATTAATTATTTTTTTTTATTTACCTGTTTTTATATTCAACTTTCTTATAAACTAAACCAAAGATTTCAGCAATTGTAAAATTACAAAATTTAGCAATTTGAGCCAGCTTTATTTAAATTATCCATTTTGTTCAGATCTAATTTTAAAACAGTTTTCTAGTTAAAGCTTAATAATTAACATAATTTTATTAAATTTTATAAGGGTTTCATTCTAATTTAAATTGTTTTATAAATAGAGTAATGTTTCAAAAACGTTTTAATTAACACTTTTTACATATTAAATTACTTGCAACTAATTGGAAAGCTGAGAAATCAAACATTCTTTCTGACCCTATTAAATTACCAATAACAACTGACAATTTAAAATCAAATTACTTATTATAGTAAGTTCAGAGAATCAAATATATCTTTGGAATTTTGATTTTTTAAATTTTAACTGTAATTTAGATCTATTCTAAATTAGCATAAAAGATATTCTATAATTAATCAGTTGGTGACAAACCTTAGTATAATAAAGTCATCTATTAGAAATCAGCTCTTCTGGTTTTGATTTTCTGCTGAGCTTTCATTTGGGCTTCTGTTGTTATCTCATGTACCATACCTTGCTGTCTACAAAAAATAAAGTTCTGTTTTATTTTTAATAAAATTGAGTTAATGCTGGTCTGTTTTGAGGAAAGTTTGACATGCCATTGCAACAAAGCTCAGAGCTAGCAATGCTAAATCAATTTTTTTTCTTCACTCATGCTCAGTGTTAGTTAGTAGGGAAAACTCAACATATTTTATCCAAATAAGAGCACTAGGAAATTTAATTTATTAGCTGAATTAAATTAATGTATCTTTAACAGTGAGTAAAGTTAGTGTTATTTTAACTTCAACCACTATTAATGATACATTAATTTAATTCAGCTGAGTTAAACACACTACAGACAAAACAGTAAATTAGAAAAAATAATAAAATATTTAATTTTATAAAATACATGATTGCAATATCAGTAGTTATCTTGTATGATTTTCTCCTGTTATTATTTAAATACAAAAAATTATAACTTTGGATATATAATCTAGTGTCAAATTANCTACTGTACTATTTTAGATGCAATTTTTTGTTTTTATCTGAGTTTTAGTAGGGTATACCATGAGAATGCACACTAAGAAGGGGTTTTTCGAAATTCCCCCGAGGGGAGAGGGAGAGCATTAAGGCTTAACCGGAAGAACGGCTTCTACTGTACTATTTTACATGCGATTTTTTGTTACATTTAGTCTTCATTAAGTGCTTAAGTGTATTAAATTAATAACATTTCAGACATTGTTATAAATATTTTTATATATTTCGATTTTTTAACCAAATGTTCAAACCTTTTTAAATACGAATTTGTTATTGCGTATCGGTTCGATTATAGAACGATTGTAAACATTCCAGAAAATTGATCAAATTGAAAATAGTTTGTTTGATTCTCAGCAATTCTCATCATTCTCGGTGGTAGGTGTTATATAACAATTACTATGGTTGTTGAAATACTGAATATAAATGGGTTTGCTTGCAAAACCTCTGCGGACGAAGTTGCAGGTAACAGCTAGCGATAAATAAAACTATGTTTTTATATTGGAACATGGTGTACACTGCTTAAAATATTTAAATACTTCTCACCTGTTAACGTGTAATAAACATGCTATCACATGTTTACAAAAACCAGACAGCCCCGCTTTGCATGTGCATTCTCCCTGTAATTGAGATGTATTAAAATGTCAATATCTGAGATTACAACACTAAAGCAACAATGTGAACTTCGGTGTTGTTGTTAGAGTTTAATCCACAAAATACAATGTGTCCGGCATCCAAAACGGCTTCATCTTCTACAAGATAACGTTTCCTGTCGCTGATATAGTCGTTTCCTGTAGCCGATATTTGACATAAATTCAATGATTTGTTCTCCATTTGGTCTTCATGGTAGCCGATAGAAACTGAATCGGCTCAGGCACTGAACAAACACGTGGTCAGTTCCTTACCTGTTTCGGCAGCCATCTTGGCTCAAAAACAGCGCCCTCTGTCGGATTTGGCGCTTGCCAATACTAAACAAACAATTTGACACCAATGATTAAATATTTAAAAAATTGGAACACAGCTATATTTGATGGTTTAGAAATTTTCAAAAGATATAACTGTTTTTTGTATTTTGTACATTCCTGACGAGGGCCTCTGAAAGACTGCCGAAAACATTCAAGCATTAAAGTTTATTTGTTCATTTTATTGCTGGAATTAGTGTTTTGGTGTCAAATTGTTTGTTTAACTAATACTTTGAGTTAAGTAATTATAAGTTAATATTTAATTGATTAAATTATTAATTGTACATCAGAATATAGTCATTTATAAAATTATCTGCTNGCAGGAAGAATCAGTTCTACTTCGTTTAGATGACATAGTAGAGTCTCTCAAGTCTCCGTAGATATAACAAACACAGAAATAAATAACACAAAATAAACTGTCGATTCCGTGAACATGTAAGCCATCCGACACGTCCGAACATATAAGCCGAATAATAGTGTGGGGGGAGTGAGTAATCAAGAATTGTGTGGAGCTCAAACAAAAGACGAATCAAAGAGATTTGAAAATTGCGTCACTCCGGGTTCGTGTAAGTCGAGGTATTACTGTGTATAAAAATTGACATACATGATACAATGTGGAACAAAGCCTTTTACAACTTTCTAAAGAAATTACAGGTACTAATAAATATCACCACTAAACCTTTGGGCTTCCAGTACAGTTTGAATGTAGTAAATGAACAAACATTTTTGATCCTTTATCCAGAATCTGCTTCAGGTTCTTATTGTTCATTTACTACATTTGAACTGTACCAGAAACTCAAAGGTTTAGTGGTGATACTTATTACAAAGCCTTACGTAAATAATTTGTCTTTGTTCTTTAGAATGATCATATTACACAGAAAGAGATAAAAATGATGAAAAAAATTTTCACAAATTTTGTATTTTTGAATTGTTATGTCATTAAAATTAATTAATTTAAAATACTGTTTGTTCATATACAATATTAATTATTTTTTTTTATTTACCTGTTTTTATATTCAACTTTCTTATAAACTAAACCAAAGATTTCAGCAATTGTAAAATTACAAAATTTAGCAATTTGAGCCAGCTTTATTTAAATTATCCATTTTGTTCAGATCTAATTTTAAAACAGTTTTCTAGTTAAAGCTTAATAATTAACATAATTTTATTAAATTTTATAAGGGTTTCATTCTAATTTAAATTGTTTTATAAATAGAGTAATGTTTCAAAAACGTTTTAATTAACACTTTTTACATATTAAATTACTTGCAACTAATTGGAAAGCTGAGAAATCAAACATTCTTTCTGACCCTATTAAATTACCAATAACAACTGACAATTTAAAATCAAATTACTTATTATAGTAAGTTCAGAGAATCAAATATATCTTTGGAATTTTGATTTTTTAAATTTTAACTGTAATTTAGATCTATTCTAAATTAGCATAAAAGATATTCTATAATTAATCAGTTGGTGACAAACCTTAGTATAATAAAGTCATCTATTAGAAATCAGCTCTTCTGGTTTTGATTTTCTGCTGAGCTTTCATTTGGGCTTCTGTTGTTATCTCATGTACCATACCTTGCTGTCTACAAAAAATAAAGTTCTGTTTTATTTTTAATAAAATTGAGTTAATGCTGGTCTGTTTTGAGGAAAGTTTGACATGCCATTGCAACAAAGCTCAGAGCTAGCAATGCTAAATCAATTTTTTTTCTTCACTCATGCTCAGTGTTAGTTAGTAGGGAAAACTCAACATATTTTATCCAAATAAGAGCACTAGGAAATTTAATTTATTAGCTGAATTAAATTAATGTATCTTTAACAGTGAGTAAAGTTAGTGTTATTTTAACTTCAACCACTATTAATGATACATTAATTTAATTCAGCTGAGTTAAACACACTACAGACAAAACAGTAAATTAGAAAAAATAATAAAATATTTAATTTTATAAAATACATGATTGCAATATCAGTAGTTATCTTGTATGATTTTCTCCTGTTATTATTTAAATACAAAAAATTATAACTTTGGATATATAATCTAGTGTCAAATTAATTTTATTTGCTTGTTTTTAATTTAAAAGTATTATATAGATTTTTTTAATATTTCAAATTTGATTTTAATTGCAGATGGGTGTGTGAAGATTTTCCAGAACTTAAGTTAGCAATGGAAAATTATGTACTCAATGATTATGATACTAGAAGGTAAAATATTCTTATTATTTTTTGTTAAAATAATCTAAAATTAACTTTAAATATTATATATTATTGTAAAGACAGTTAAGTAAAGAAATTAATTCATTTAATATGTTTAACACATTCCAAAGATCTGTTCTATCATCTTCTGTCTTCTAAGGATGATGATAGATGATGATGATGATAAACGTTACACAAAAAAGTTCAAAAGATTTGAATTTCCTTATTTAATATACATACTTCTAAGGATGATGGTAAAATAGATTTTTTGATAATGCTAAAGATATTAAGTGGTTGACAATGCTTTAAAATGCAAATTTTACAGATTATGAAGTTGAGTACTGGATTATTTAAGATTTTAAATACTGTTCAAAATAGCTAGAATTAATGAAAGTAAATTTTATGAAATTTTTAAATTTGAATATTTACTACACTTCAATACCAAAATACTGGTAATTCAAAACTTAACAGTGGATTAAGTTAATTTAAATGATAAAATTAATCATCATCTGTAATAGTTTACTTTTTATTATTATTAATAATTCTAATTATTACTAGACTTTAAAAAGATGTAATAAATATTAATTTATGAAAATAAAATTAATTATATGTTGATTTATTTTTATTTAAAATTTTAACATTCAAATATTTGTAATAATTAATGTCTAGAATATGCTATAGCAAATTTTTAAATAAAAATTTTTATTTTAAAAACAACTTTTATATACAGTAATCTACTTTAAGTTAATTGTTCTAAAAACTATTGAGTTTACTATTATAATTGAATTAATTTTCAAATAATTTTGAATTTATTATCTGTCTATGATGATAGTTAATTGCAAGGTTTGTGAGNAAGTAAAGAAATTAATTCATTTAATATGTTTAACACATTCCAAAGATCTGTTCTATCATCTTCTGTCTTCTAAGGATGATGATAGATGATGATGATGATAAACGTTACACAAAAAAGTTCAAAAGATTTGAATTTCCTTATTTAATATACATACTTCTAAGGATGATGGTAAAATAGATTTTTTGATAATGCTAAAGATATTAAGTGGTTGACAATGCTTTAAAATGCAAATTTTACAGATTATGAAGTTGAGTACTGGATTATTTAAGATTTTAAATACTGTTCAAAATAGCTAGAATTAATGAAAGTAAATTTTATGAAATTTTTAAATTTGAATATTTACTACACTTCAATACCAAAATACTGGTAATTCAAAACTTAACAGTGGATTAAGTTAATTTAAATGATAAAATTAATCATCATCTGTAATAGTTTACTTTTTATTATTATTAATAATTCTAATTATTACTAGACTTTAAAAAGATGTAATAAATATTAATTTATGAAAATAAAATTAATTATATGTTGATTTATTTTTATTTAAAATTTTAACATTCAAATATTTGTAATAATTAATGTCTAGAATATGCTATAGCAAATTTTTAAATAAAAATTTTTATTTTAAAAACAACTTTTATATACAGTAATCTACTTTAAGTTAATTGTTCTAAAAACTATTGAGTTTACTATTATAATTGAATTAATTTTCAAATAATTTTGAATTTATTATCTGTCTATGATGATAGTTAATTGCAAGGTTTGTGAGAAAAATAAATATTAACAAGAAAAAAAATCTGTTAGGAACTACAATTAACTTCAGATTTGAGAATTTTAATAAAAAAATTAATAAACATTAGATTATTGTAATGTGAGCTGTCAATACATATATAATTTAACTGTAAATTTTTAAAATATATTTTTCAATTCTGTGCTAATTTCATTAGTAATTCTTTTCACTGTGTTAATTGATTTTATTGAAGTAGGCAATCTTAACAAAATAAGTAGACATTTTTTTTGATTTTATCAAATTGTTATATGTATAAATTTTATGCTTATTTTGATTTGCCTCTGAGCAATTGTTTCTTGAATTAATTAAAAAGAAAAAAAGATTGAAATTAGGTTTAATATTTTTAAATTCAGTTTGTTAAATCATATATTANTGCTGAAGTTTGAAACTTTACTGGATTATCTTTAAGATTATATATTCATTAATTATGATTACTTAAATTCCTTTGGATTTAATTTTCTGAAATTTTAAACAATTGTTTAAGATATAATTGGTCTAATTTTTCTTTAACTCAGTTTAAAGTATATGAATTAGTAAATTATCAGTCATAAAAATTAAATAATTTAACTAGAAATCTACATTAAATTTTAATCCAAAAGCAATTAGATTAATTGCATCTAGTAATCTATATGCTTATATCTTCCAAATTAATTGGTCTGGAAGCAAAGATTGGACAAGAGTCTAGGTAGCTTAATTGGTAAATCATCTGCACAGTATGCAGGAGTTTGTGTTCAAGTCCCCATGCTGAATTGCTATTTTCTTCCACAATATTTTCAATTATTAAATTTAACACAAGATGACAGCTTAATAACCTTTAGTACAAATTACATAATATCTAATTAATTAGCACATTTTAGTCCTCTTAAAATCTGGCAGTATTATTTGTTTATTCCTGTATGTTGGATTTAATTTATATGTAATTAATTAGATAAACTTACTGTAATTTGATATGAATAACTTGTGATGGTGTACACACCACATAAAATTGCTAGAATGGAAATTAAACTTTTGCATAACTTGCTTCCAACTGTTGAAAGCAAGACACTTGGATACTGGTTCACAGTTTAGAACGTACCAGTTCTCATTTATTCATTGTAACATTAAAATTAGGGATAGACTGAATAGAGTTTTTTGGCTGAATACTGAATAATCATTTGGATATTACTGTTGACGAATACTGTATGCTAAAATTCTGTTTCTTTCAGCAATTATTAATTAATAATTTAAATTTTATATGAATCTTACTTTCATGTAAAATGAATTTCTATGCTTTGTTTAGAAAATGAAGCAAAAACTATAATTGTAATGATCTCATCTTTAATTCCATTAGTGAAATGACAAAAAGTAATGCTGTTATGTGTAAATAAAACAAAATATTACACAATTAAACTAGGGTTATTGTTTTAGATGTATATAATTATTTTTAGCCATCAAAATTTACTATATAATGGCAGAAAGAGCAATTAATTTACAGCTTATCAGGATGATGATAATTGCATTGCAAGTCTTAACTGTGAAAGTTTTCAGAAGTGATATCATTAGATAGAAGATAATATTACTGGAAACTTATCAGCTTTCAAGATACAAATCCAAATAGGAATGTCTAATAATATCAATTAAGGTATAAAGTGGATTTAAAGAAAACAAATGGAGAGAACTATAGGTGTATTTATATGTCTTTGATAGTCTTAGGAAAAATTGCAATGACAGAAGAGTGTGAATATGACAGATTTATTTTCCCAGACCATTCTTGATAATTTTAGATCAGGGCTTCTAAGTGGAGTCAATGAAAGTTTGAAAGTGGGGTAGATGAGCCAATCCAATGCACATACATTAGAGCAATTGATTATCTAAAAACTGATTAAGCAAAATTGACTTCATAGCATAAAAATACATTGTTCAGTTGTTTGTATAGTAAATTATTGAGTTAAAATTTATAAAGTATTGTCCTGTGAAAAGTCAGAATTGCAAGGATTGGAAAGTTTCTTGCATAACAGGTTTTCCATCTTAAAACAAGCTTCAAAATGAAAATATGCTTTTTTACGAAGTTTCAATTTAGATATAATAATAGCTATATTTATTGAAATTAACTCAAAATAAAATATATATTCTTATACAGTCAAACCTGTCAATAACAGAACCCCAAGGGACCAAACAACTCTTCCGCTATATACAGGTTACCCACTATAGGTATCCCTTGATTAATGCAAGTAATGAATTTCTCAATGTTACCATGTATATCAAAACTACATTAATCAAATACAGTGGTACCTTGGTACACAACCAATCACCACCTGCTGGAATAAATTTTTGGTTAATAATAATTATTTTTATTTTAACTTAAATTTTTTTCATTCATCCAAAAAAAATTCTCTAAGATAAAAAGAGTAACCAATTTAAAAATAAAATGTACTTTCTCACTACACTGGGTTATATATACTCCAAATACACAACGATCTACAATTAACCAATAACCAATAAAATAAGCCTGAAGAAGATCCAAAGAGGGAAATCGAAAATGTTCCCCGATTTTTTTGAAGAATTTCACGCCGGTTATTGGTTAATTGTAGATCGTCGTGTATTTGGATTAAAAATAAAATAAAACCTTACAGCTGCCTACCTTCATCAGACAAAATTATACTCAATTCAGTTTGTTTTTTTCGTGACTGAATAAAAAACAAACTGCATGTGGAACACAATTATCAGCATGTTTTACAACTATTTCAATTGGATGAAGTGTTTCAACAATACATATCTGTGATACACTAGGATTTATTGCAAATTCATGAGTTGTTATTCGTAAGTCTTTAACAATTTCTTCCTTCAATTTCTCTTCAACAGCTTAAGGGGTCCATACATTTTGTATCTTTTAGTTCCAAAATTTCCCAAATGAAATTTTTAAAACCACATTTGACACATTTGGAGTTTAGAAGCATATTTTCCATTCATAGTACGAGTATTTTTTTACTGTTTGTATAGAATATTCTTTATGAAACTTAGAAAGCATGTATAATATGCCTGATGTGCATTTTATCTGCAGACATTTTGACTTGACTTTATTGAATGAAATGTGATGTAAGAAAGTTTAAAATAAGCTTCAAAACAAAGAATACAATCTCAAATCAGGAATAATGTGTTAAATTTCACAACTCATAATTATATCACATATTTATGTTAAGTAAAAACAGCTGTTAATAAAAATATGCAAAAACTTTCCATTAAAATTGTTAAGTAATACTAAACTAAAGCAAGTGTCAATACAACAAATTGTCTATGAACTGGAACATCCATGCAAGACCACTCGAAACAAGAAGAGACCTGTCTTTAGTTGCCTGCCAAGTTATGGATGTGTGAACAAGTTCATGTATA